AAAAATCCACTCCCACTCCTGTCTGCAGCTCAGATCTCTTCTTACTCTTACTGTGTGTTAATGAGCAGTGTAATGGAAGGTAATTTACATCTGATATGCGTAGGGGGGCTTGTCTTTTAGCTGAGAAAATCATTGACCTTAATTGTTATATTACAAAGCAAGCACAGACTATATAAATTTGTTTGGTAGATGTCTGCCATTTATTGTGCATTTTACAGAGCTGCCAAGAGCAGGAAGTGAGCTATCACTTTGTACCATAACACATTACCCCCACATTAACATGATGGCGTTGCATGGACTTACACAACCTGCCAATATAACAACATCATTACTTTTAATCCTCTAACTAAGCTAGTGACAAAGAGGAGACCTTTCTGATAAGTCTTGGAGACAATTTCATAATTTGAACCTTCTGTGAGTGGTGTGAAAAGCCAGAATCTGCAAATTAATTTAGAGAATTAGAAGGAAACAAGTTTGTCATTGATAGAAGGGCGAAGGTGTGAACCAAGTTTCAGGATGATTTGGTTTTTGGCTGCTCCTCTGGAGCCTCCACGTAGGGCTCCTCCTCCTGGACCCGGCAGGGTGCCAGGCGGTCTCGGTGCAGGACCACCACTCTCCCCTGTTTTCGCAACCGGACCCGGTAGCAGACCCCTCCCACCACCCCTTGTAGACTCCTGGACCGTAGACTCCAGAGTGCAAGGGGGAGGTGGCAGTCCCAATTGGTCCCAGCACACCAGGGTGGCCAGCTGGGTGGCGAGCGTCTGATTAAACCGCTCCACCAGCCCGTCGCTCTGGGGATGCAGCGGGGTGGTCCGCGTCTTAGAGATCCCAAGGCGCTGGCACACTCTGGCGAAGATCTGGGACTCGAAGTTACGACCCTGGTCACTGTGTAACTCCTCCGGCACCCCTAGCATGGCAAACATCCCCTCCAGTAGTGCATCGGCCACCGTGGGGCACTCTGGTCTGGGAGGGATTTTCTTTGTAGATTAATGGTACAATCTTTAGTATTTTTCATTAACTGGATGCTCACTGCTTTATAGTTTTTTTTTCCTTTATGGAGGAATTTTGTGCAGATTTTTAGTTGAAATGACTTATTCTTCTGATTTTTTTTCTGGAAGGATTTGGGATGATTTACTGTACTATGATTCTGTTTTAGGTGGTGATGAAGAAGGTTTGTTGTATTCATTAACTCCATTTCTAGCAAATGGAAAGTTGAAATCTCACATAAATATTGATGTAATTGAACACAAGTGTTGAGAACTTTATTACTGCAAGTATTGTGTGTTTCCTACTCTCCCAGGTGTAATTCCTCTTTCTCTCCATAATTACTGTATATCTTTGTGTTTTTCGAGAAAACAAAAGCTTGTAGAATGTGCTCCCACTGGCGCGGGTGA